AATGCCTTTATTTGCCTATGACTAATCTAGTTTTCCTCCAGAACCTCATCATTGGTTTATTGTGGAAAGAAACAAAATTAAATGTTTAATACTATTTGGTATAAATCCGATAATATAAATAGTCCCTTCAAATCACAATTTCTTTCATTTTATTTAAGACAAAGTAGAATCCACCTATCGTGGTAGTATTTTAAAAATCATCTTAAGTCTATACACAAAGTTACCTGTCAGATAACAAAGGTAATATTTTTATGATGCTATATAGCTCACAATGTATTTTCATGTGATTGTTTAATTTGATTTTCACAACAATCTGATAGGTGGGGAAAATGAGAGAGATTAACCATCTTGCCCAAGATTGAAAAGCAGCAACTGAATGGGGGGCCAGCAGATGGTGCAGCAGTTATGTCGCTGGACTCCTACATGGCCAACCATGGTTCAAGTCTCAGACCTAGTGGCTTCAAAATCACACTGAACATGTGTATGTACATGCCCAAGATACTGGGAGAAAAATAGAGGAGAAGGGATTGTGGTGTGGCCATTCCCCATGGGGGGTGATTTCTCACTTCCCCTGTCTCTCTCTCTCTCCAGTCAGCCACCTGCTCTAAGGCAAAAACCACTTAAAAAAAATTAAATAAAAAGCAGCAACTATCCAAGTCAACACTCAAAGCACAGCTTGTGTCCTGCCCTTGGCTCCTGCCTCATCCCATTTCAAGATATGCATCTCCAAGTCAACACATGATTAAAGTGTATCAGTTAGGATGTTCTTGACTGCAAATAATTGAAATTCCAGCTCAAACTGGCTAAAATAATAAGGACATTATCACATTACATTAATAACAACACAAAGCAGTTCATGGCACTAGAAGACCTGGCTCATGGATGTCCCCACTATTCTACCATTCATTATTGTACAAAGTCTCCCTTCTTCGGCTGCCTCCCTTCTTGATCCAGAGATTAGTTGTCTGTCAGCAGCACCTGGGATATAATTCCTTGGAGGAGAACAGATTATTACTTCGATCATGAGACAGTTGTCCTTCTCTCTGTGTGACCTGAGCAATGTAGGCCAGAGACAGAATTTAAGATATTACATGGGGTATTTCTCTGCATTTCCTAGTCATCTTTGCATTCAGGGGTGAACATGTGACTAGTACAAAGCAAAGAACTATGAGAGAAGAAAGTCACTTCCAGAATGAGACAGATAAAAACATATGTGCCTTATCTATCGCTTTCCTTGCTGTAACGTTGAGGGATTCATGGTTGTGTGTTAAGGCAGCAAGTACAGGGGCCAGCAGATGGTGTGGTGGTGAAGTGCTGGGCATTCTCTTGTGGTCAACAACAGTTCCAGTTCCGGACCTGGTGGCTTGCTTTCTCACTCCCTCCTCACCTCTCTCTCTCTCTCTGTGTCTCTCTCTAATCAAATTAAAATGAATGAATGAATAAAATAAATTGAATAAATAATTCTTAAAAAGAAAGAAAGAAAGAACATCACAGATGGAATTGGCCTGGACCAGAGTCACCAGATAGAAGAGAGGTCTGTCAACCTGCATTGCTCTTTGAATAATATGTAAATAAATCTTTATTTTCTTGAACTACTGAGATTCCTGAGTTTGTCCATTGGAACATTTAGCACTAATTACCCTAATGCAGAGTATGTGCCTAACTCACGGAAGCCATGCACTGACCATCCTACATCTCATCTGAGATGGATGGATGTGCGGTCACCTGCATTGACTACAGGTAATTTTATAGTCGGAGGATTTCTATACCATTCAGTTGGAGACTCAGAGGAAAAAAAAAAAATAACAGCACAGTACAACACAACACAACACAAGATAGAACACTGGACCAGCCCTACAGTGCAGGTATTAGGCAGAGGAAGCCAGATTCTTCACTCCTGCCGGGGTTTAAGTTTCCAGTAGGTGTACACATGCCCAAGATCCTGATGAGATGGAGAATTAGAGGAAAAAGGATTACAGTGTGACCAGAACCTGCTGGGCTGCTTTCTCACTTTCTCATACATAGACACATGTATTCTCTATCATTTTTTGTTTGTTTGTTTAAGTACAGAATGCTTTTTGCAGGTATGCTCTTAGTTTCTTGAGGGTCTTTATATGACCTATTTAAAAGAAAAAGACAATCAAGCTGATAAACCTAGAACCTGACTTACCCATTGTGTTTTAGGCAAACATTTATTGAACTACTATTGTCTAGCCCCGAACAAAAGACAAGAAATGAAGATAAGATATGACCCTTTCTGTCCAAAACTCTGCAGTCTGCTAGTAAGACAGACAAATAAATAGAAAATGTCAGGAAGGTTGAATAAATGGTCAAATATTGCCTAAATCTACTACCAAGACAGCACTCTGCTCATTAATAACTAAGACCCAAGTGTAGTCAGTGACAAAGTTAGGACTTGTCATGTAAGGCTAAAAAGTCCATATTTTTTCTAAAACTCCAAATAAAAAAATAGCAGGTTCTTTTAAAAATCAAGAAATTCACCATGGCATTCAGAAAACTTAAATTCAGGAACTGGCAGGTGGCGTGGTGGTTAAAGGCTCTGGATTCTCACACGGCCAGTCATGGTCTGAGTCCTAGACCTGGTGGCTTGTTTTCTCCCTTTCCCTTTCTCTATCTCTCTCTCTGGTCAAATTAAAAAAAAATAACAAATGGAAAAAAACAAATCTTTAAAAAAAAACAAAACTTAAATGTAATCAGTATAAAATGAATTTAACGCCAAACATCAAACTAGGAACTACAAAGAAGATAACCATGACGACTTGGAAATCTGAACTTGCGTAATAACTGTTTGCCCTCTTTCTTCTTCCCCTAGAATATGCCAGCTTCCTCAGTTGAGCTTACCATAGTATTGATATTTAAGCAGTTGATACATATATTTAAGTAGACAAGTCCCAAACTAAAGAAAAAGTGTATATATCAATATGGGACTTAGTTCTCACTTTTCTGCCACACACATGAAAACATTTTTAGGAAGATGTTCGTTTTCCAAATCTACCTTTTATTTTTCTAGGCATATTATGCTACAATCCCCAAAAACTGCAACACAGCACAAAGACCAAACTTTAGTGGAAGGGTGGGAATGACTGGGAATTACTCAACGGCCTGAGCAAAACTTCTTTCAAACTGTGAGCTTTCTTTGTCAACCCTAAGTGAAATTTTGTACCTACTTTGGATCTAACTTTAGGGAAATTATGGAGTTCCATGAATGAGTCAGTCTGCGTCTCAGTCAAGGTAGAGATCAATGTACTACAGGCCAAGGGCAGGAAGGAAGGATCTAATGGAACAACCCAAGAAGACTACAAATCTGCATGATAAACAGGTCAAGGGGCTGCCTTCTCCTACACACGTTTGGTTCTAATGTGTTTCTTCTACAAAACTAGAAATGTGGAAGAGCTGGATCTGTAATAAAATAAAAATCAGTATTTTACATATGGATAAATCAGATTTTTTTTTTTAGAGAGATTTTTGCTAGAGGGCATGTGTGCTCACCAGGGAAACAGAGAGAGTAGGTGAGAAGTCACAAAAAGAGAGAGTGGGTGAGAAGGCCCCCCCCCCCCCAGGGGGATGGCCATGCTACAATCCCTTCTCCTCCATTCTCCTCTCAGGATCTCGGGCATACATGTATACATGCTGGGTGTGAGTTTCGAGCCACCAGGTACAGGACTCGAACCGTGGTCAGCCATGTGGGAGTCCAGTGCCTTAACCACTACAGACCTGCTGGCCCCGTAAATCCAATTTTGAAGGATATTCTGGAGTGATAAAAGGATAATCACCTGGATACTTGAATGCCACAAGCCTTGGGCTACAAGGAAAAGACAGACAGTCCGGCATGCAGGATGCTGAAAAGTTCTGAGCCTGGAAACAAGTCATCCAGCAGTTTTACTAAGAAAATTCCATCTGTGGGGTTAGTCCACCACCTGGTGACCATTCAGAGTCTATGTCTCAAAACTGACCACATACTTCTGGATATTTCCAGAATGCCATAACACCCTAAAATGAACTGCAAGTCTTTCTGAAACTTAAAAGAAAAAATAATAATATCTGATCTGGATGTTGTTTTTTAAAAAAATTACAAAAAACAAACAAGTGCGTAATTAAGGTGATAATGATGAATATAAATAATATTTCTCTTTTAATACTTCTAGGGACAAATAAAATACCCCCTTGGAATACAATGTCAACTTGAAATATAAATATGTATGATTGGTATGTATACATAATATGCTTTTCCTATATATTGAAATAAAAATTTAAATTGCAGAATTCTGTCGATTACATTAATTACATAACTGGCAATACTTAATTACTGCAAAAGATTCTGTACTAGAGTTAGGCAGAAATTCCTAAGACCTGGTTCTGGAATTCAGGTATATTTTTCCTGGGGATTTTGTGTTATTGTTGCTCACTGATGCTACTGTATAAAAACAATCAGAAGTTTCTACAGCCAATTAAGGAGCCACAAATAATTTATCAACCAAGTTTTTTCACCATCACGCTCAGCAACCATACTGAGACAGAAATTCCAGAATTACTAAATGAAAGCGGAACATGAAATAGAAAAATGTCAGACACATACTCCGAGGTCATAACTGATAGTGGCTTTAATACTTTCTGAAACCAGCTGTGAGCCTTGGCCTGCAGCTCCCACTAAGCATTCGTATTTAACTCTGTATGGACAAGCAAGTCTGAAGCACTCGAGAGAGCTCCACGCTGAATCAAGTGGATTTAACTGCATAAACTCAGCATGCATCTGCCTTCACGGTTTTGGGAAAGGAGAGCTGACTACATGCTGAGCGTCACTTTAGAGACTCCTTACTATCCATTCGAATGGACAGTAAGTTAAGTAATAAATCTCCCCCCACCTCCAGGAAAGAAAAGCCGAAGTTACACAAACAGCTCATCCAAAGGAAGAGGGGAAAGGCCTCTCCTAAACACCGGCAGGGCAGCGGCCTCCGAAGGCAGACGAGGCCTGTACTTACACAGATGGCCAGAGCGCCAGCCCCCATTCTCTCAGGAAGTGTCTGCAACAACTGATGGAGCCCAGACGAGCACATTAAAATGACAGCGAAATACGAAAATTCCACGCAGTGCCTCTGCTCTGATTTGAAAAACAGCTCCCAGGCCAAGGGTCCCCCCGTAAACCAAGAGTAGCCGCGAACATGTTAGGAAGTGCGGTTTGGCGTCTCCTTCGGCTAAACCCACATGGCTGGGAGGACCCGCTGGAGGTGAAATTTGATCCGCGGCGGCAGAGCCAGCCAGTGGAGGGAGTCACGTGACACGGGTCTTAAGTCGCTGACATCTTTTTCTTAAACCAGACTTTCTAGATAGCACACACAGGCTAGAAATCTGCCAGTCACCAGATGGCACTCATGAATAGGGCTAACAGGCCAGAGTGCAAAAATACAAACTTGTTCCTTGTTCCTACTCGTCTGGAAGGCTCATTTGCATACTCGGGCTCAGGTGTAAATGGCAGGCAGTCCTCATTTCTCTCTTCCATTGTTCAAGATTCTACCAGTGTTTTCTTCCCTCTAGCAAAATTGTTTTCAATTAAAATGCTCTATTTTATGTCGTCACTACTGCTTCTAATTGCTTTTGAATGATCTTAATCACATATACTGATGATTAATGTCTTGGTAGACACCAGCATTTGTGGTATGCAAAATCAACATTCTGCAAAACTGGCTTTCAGCTAACCTTTCAATAACATCCTACTTTGTAAGCTATGTCATTAGAAAAATTGATAGATTTTACAATTTCCAATATTGGACCTGATGGCTAAACTATTAATTTCGGGTAAGCCAGAAGGAAACTATCCTATTTTTCTTTGCATGTTTTCTATCCATTTTTAAATAGATCATCTAACACACTTAATGCATGCTGGCAAATATTATCTATGCTGTTTCACTTGAGCTGACTTTAAAAGACTTCTCCTGTATCAATAACAAAGGCATATCAAAGTTACATCTTAAAGGAAATCCCTGGGAGAAAAAGGGAAAGCCAAAATCAGCTTCCATTTTAATGCGTCCCTTCGAAATCAATATTCTTTGCATATCTATAACCAACCAGCACTACAGCCACGGCAGAGCCATGCTACCAAATCATCCAGCAAACCACAGCATATAGCACAGTACACTCATTTCCACTCATGTGCGTAAAACATTGTGCTGGCTCTGTTTCCATAAGGCAGAACACCATCCAAATCTCATAAAAGGGAATGGGCTATGCGATATGTTGGGTACCTTCTCCCATGAAGTGTCCAATGAGGGAATAGAGGAAGAAAAAGAAATAAGTGACCCTTGATGATTAGACGATGAGGTTCAGAACCTGCTTGCCCCAAATGGGACAGCTTGAATAATTGAAGCTAAAGGAATGGGGAAAAGTCCACAGAGGCAGGAAGGTCACACTCAGCTTTCCTTGCTGTTCTTCCCTGAAGCAGGTCATAGAATTTAGGAAGAGTTTATCTGTCCTTTCCTTCAAGTAGGTCAGAAGACCCTTGTAAGAGGGATACCCTCCCTATGCCTGAAGGGGAAAAAAAAATCCTTATCTCTGAAAACAAGGCATAGAGGAGAATCTTAACAAACCTTGTTGAATTTCTCCATTGATTACCCTTAGAGTATCCCCATTTCAACCTATTGTATTTTTCCATCACTGTGTACTCTTCACCCAACCCAGCATGGACCCTCTTCTCCCCCTTAGTTGTGGCTGAACCCATGGCTGTCCAGTTGAAGCCTACATCTCCCACCTTTTCATGTAGGTAGATGTGGCCATGGGGCCACATGCTCGTTAATAGAAGGTAAATCAATAAGCAGGGGCAATTTCTGTGTCACGCACTTAACAGGAAATCCCTCACTCCATATTCCCTCTTTTCTCTTCATTATAAGCTGGAATACGGGTGCATGAGAAACTTAGCTTCCACTATGGAGAAGAGAGACATGTCTCAGGGGATGGCAGACCAACTGGACCAGATGGAACCAAGATCTCTGCAATGACCCTGTGGAACACAGTTGCCTGTAAGGCTAGACCAACCGGAGTCTTAAGTAAGAGAATAAAACTCTAAAGTGTGCATGTGTATGTTTGTCTTTATCCTAATAAACTCGCCACCTGATGCAGATCCATTTATTGAGCAAATTTCTCATTTCCCAATTATGTGTGATAAAATCCATACCATATATTAAATTCATATGCACACCTGGACACACCAAGATCTTTTCAGGCCTTTTTTTCCCCCCTAGACTCATACCACTACCATATCATTTTTTATAAATTTAATTAAATTTTTTTTTCTAAATCTTTTTGTAATTTTTTTCACTGTGCAGCTGGCACAGTGTCTGCAGGTCCATAATAAATAATATGATTCACATTGTTATAACTAAAAAGAAAACATTTTGGGAGGGGAAATAAAAAGCTGGTCATGCACAATATAAGGCAATAATCTTTTTTTTTAAATTTTATTTTATTATCATCATAATCTTCTTTCTATTACACTAGATTACATATAACTTTACATTGACTTCCATTGCTTTTTCAAAATGGGATGCCAGGCATGTCAGTCAATACAGAGATATCAATCTCCCCGCTTTATCATTCAATATCTTTTCCATGCTTTTCCCAATAATTGTTATTATTATTTTTTTAAACAATCAATCACTATTTCTCATTTTGCTTATTAAAAAGACTTCACCCATCATGAAATACTTCCCAGACCGGTTCAGTTGAGAATACTATACATGTCATCATCAATAGGTAATAAACCATATCTATTTCTCATTAACATCCTGCCTCTCTATTGTTCACTACTGTCTTTATCCTCTTCTCTCTCCTTTTTTTTTTATACTTTGTTTTTTATTATAAATTTTTTTTTCTCATCACAACACACATATGAATTTTCCATCCAAAATACACTGTGCATTGGCTCAATCAAGCACATCAACATATATGTTCTCAGCAAATGATTTCCCAATTTTTGTGTCCTGCATACCTTGCCTTTTGTTTTGCCATCCTAGATTCCCCATCCCCACCCTCTGCCATGTCCCGTCTTCCTCCTCCATTGTCCCTAACATTCATGATTGCCCTCAATGTAAGGCAATAATCTTGACTGAATGAGAATTCTTAGAAAGGGGCCAGCAGGGGGTGTAGTGGTAAAGATGCTGGATTCCTACATGGATGACCATGGTTCAAGTCCCAGGCATGGAAGCTTGAAAATCATGCTGGGCACATGTCTGTGTGTGTCCAAAATTCCAGGAAGGAGGAAAATGGAGAAGGGATTATGGTGTAACCCTCCTTCTAGGGAGTAATTTCTCACTTTCCCTCTCAGTCTCTCTCTCTCTCTGGTGAGCACACACACCCTATGGCAAAACAAAGAAAAGAGAGAGTGGGGGGAAAGGGTGTAGGCTTCCCAGATGGTGTCTACATGCTGCAACCGAACCGCCAACCTCAGCCAGACAGACAGGATCCAGTAAGCACGTGTGTCCGGCGTGCACAGGGCCATTCCCACAGGGCCCCTGCATTACCTCTGTGCCATCACAACCAGCCTAAAAGGCATTTTTAACTTGTGAGGGGGTATGGGGAGTAGCCATCAGCACCTGTTGCACCTGTTCATTGCCAAGGTATGCACATAGGTTTTCATGTAGGTGCCACAATTCTGCAGTACACGAATTATTATCATGCTGGTCAAATGAGAGACTGAGACTCAGAGAGGTTCAGACCTACACAGTCAGCAACAGATAAAGATAGCTTTGAAGCCCATGCTTCTGACTGAAACCTGTGTTCCCTCAAATGCGTTACATCAATATTGGTCTCTTTTTTTTTTTTTAGAGATTTTCACTGTAGGGCGCGTGCGCTCGCCAGACAGACAGAGAGAGACATAGAGACAGAAAGCGAGAAATCACACCCCAGGGGGGAGGTCACACCGCAATCCCTTCTCCTCCATTCTCCTCTCGGGATCTTAGGCACGCATGCACACACGCCCGGCGTGAGTTTTAAGCCACCGGGTCCGGGACACGAACCACAGTCGACTGTGTGGGAGTCCAGCGACATAGCCATTACGCTAACTGCTGGTTCCCAATATTGGTCTCTTTGAAATTGTCAGTCTTACTACAACTAGGCTAAGAGTATAATAATGTATTATGACCGCTATACATATATACATGCATATATGTACATGCACTCACCAGAGAGAGACAGAGAGAGAAGGAAAATGAGAAATTGCCCCCCAGTAGGATGGCCACACTATAACCCCTTTTTCTTCATTCTCTTCTTGGAATTTGGGGCATACATGCACACATGCTGGCATGATTTTCAAGCTCCCAGGTGTGAGATTTGAACCACAGTCAGTCATGTGGGAATCTAGCACCTTAACCACCATGCCACCTACTGGCCCACCAAGTGCCAGACTTTTTTTTTTTTTTAAGAGAGATTTTTGTTATAGGGCACTTGTACTCACCGGAGAGACAGAGAGAGAGAAAGTGAGAGATCATTACTAGAGGAATGGCCATGCTACAATCCCTTCTCCTCCATTTTCTTCTTGGGATTTTGGGCATGCACACACATGCGCCCAGTATGAGTTTTAAGTCACCGGGTCCAGGACTTGAACCATGGTTGACTATGTGGGAATCCAGCGACATAAACACTATGCCACCTGCTGGTCCCAAGTACAGACTTTTGCACATATCGTTTCTTTTAATCAATATTGAAAACAAACGAGGATGCCATATGCATTATTCCCATTTCATTATCATTCATTAAAAAAATTAGAAACCCAGAGAAATCAAATCACCTAATTATACAGGTGTTTAAGAGGCAGAACAGAATAGAAACTTAGGACTCCACTTATTCATTTAACTATCAAATATTTGTAAGAGCATACCACATGTCATGGGCTGTTGCACATGCTATGGAATAGAGGATTGCTCCGCTGTGGATTTTTTTATGGATACAATTGAAAACCCTAAAAACTTTAAAACTCATGCAAGTTATAACATGCTAGGCTGCCAGGGATCATTAGGAGCAGTGGAGGTGTACTGCTTTAGCATTTGTGTGCATCCATGAGGCAGTTAACTGCTTAATAAGAACGTTTCACATTAGCTGCATCTGTTTATTACTTACAGACATGATCCCTGCTAAATCTCTATTCTCTAGTATAACATTGTTTGTTCCCCATCATTGGGGTAGAGTAAAACTCCTAGCAGCCAAGTGAT